CTTTAGCATAACTTTGAATGCTGTCCTAATTTCGCTATCATGATATTAATAATGGGTTCTGGTATTTTCAGAAGAGAAACTGATTATATAAAAACAAGCATATGAGACTCCCCCGAACTCTTCTGCCAAAAACGACTATGAATAGAGTGGAAAAAAATCTTTGTTGTGGTGAAGGAATTCCCCAAGAGTGACCTACACTGTGACACTGATACTGGATCTCCAACTCTCAAGACACCCATGAGTGCCCCATAGTTGCACTGTCCTCCCAAGTTCCAGAAAATTCAGTCTGAGGTAGCTCACTGCAGCAGGACTGGCAGAGCTGAATACGTGGTAAGAAATCTTTGCTCAGCTGGCTTGTCCCCTCACAAAGATGAAAATAAATGTGAGGTTCCAAATTGGAAAGATTGCATTAGGCACCCTCCCTTTTGATGCTCATATTTATTCTACCCACAGGCAGTTTCTGGGACCTTGTGGCATCCATCTGTCATACCCCTCTCTTGAAATGTGTAGCTAACCACGTGACTGAATCCTGCTCACTAGCTGGTGGGCTCTTCGGGTCTCTTCTAGGTTTAGCACAGCTTCTGCAGAGAATTTTGCCTCTTTGGTTCCAGCTTCATCTTGTGTTCTTCCTCACTGGTTATCAATGAGAGGTTTACTGGCTCAGCCAGTTAAATGTCAAATGTGTGCCGTGCTTGGTCAGCCCCATTTTAGACCTGCCTTGAATTGGAAGCTTGCTGAGGGTGAACTGGGCTTTGATTTGAGAGGGATTTTGAATGTCATATCCAAATTATCTCCACTTACTCCTTTTTACTAGGATTTTATTAGAGAACAAGAATAACACATCTTGTCACATCTTTTAAGATATAATAAAGTGCACATGTTTTTTCCTCACCTGTTACTTTATCTTTAGGTTTCTGGCATGGAGACTGTTATACCTGGACCCTTGTTTGCACCCTATCATTTGAATGTACAGCCGAATTTGATTTGTTAGCATTTTACATTTTTTTCCTGCTCAGCAGTTTTGGTTTGAGAAACTATCTGTAACAAGTTTTGGAGCCTATGCCAGCCTCCCTCTTATATTGGGCTCCCCAGCAGTCAATTGCCTGTAATTCTGAAGGAATGCTATGAAATGATCAGGGGACCTTGGCACCAGATGGCAAAGCATTTAGTAAATCTCTTTTTTCTATGTGTTTTCTATATTTTTCCAGAGTCAATTTTTGTCATTTCTATTTTCCTAAGAAATTTTCCACAATCTGAATTTTGCAATTAACCCATATATTTTATTTTTAAGTATTTAATTATATTTATTATATGATATCACATACAACATATAATCATTATCATATTACTTAATTAAATATTATAAATTATAAAAACATAATTAATATTTCAAGTCTGAGTCTGTCATTACCTCCCTTTTGTAGCCTGTGCATTTCTTTATTCCTTTCTCTCCCTGTCCTTATTTCCCTCTCCCTTTTGTCCCATGGCTACTGGCTCACTAGCAACTGGCTTAGTTACTAGGCCTTGGGGCCAGGGATCTGCTCTTCTCCTCGCTGTTGGCCAAGTACTGGCAGCGAAGAGTCCTCTTCCCCTTGGCTTCACAGGTACTCCCTGGTCATGCAGAGAAACCAGCTGGGTGACTAAGTGTGATACTTACATTGCTCACATTAAGAGCATTAGCTCGAGCGAGGTTAATTTCAGGTGTGTCTGGCATTATATGGATGGAAGTCTTATCTTTGTCCCAAACTTCTCTGTATTTTGGCTATGGAAAGAACCAATAAACAAATAAATAACAGAAATCACTTGTTAGTCTTTTTGCTAGTTTCAGTGAACAACTTGTAACTATTTCTTTTGGGTCTGATCCAGAATCTTTTCATACTAAAGTTTTTTTAAAAATAATTTTTACATATAAGTTACTCAAATTTGATAAGAAAATCTTATTAGTACTTCTTATTAATATTTTAGGTTTTATAATAGCACAAACCAAAAACAATGCTGCTTACATTTTCCCTAAAAATAGATGGTCAAGTTAATTCATTATTTCATTAATTTTTCATTTATTATCATCTGTAGTTTGATTTAACTTTAATACATAAAAAACAATAGTGACTCACAATACTGATATTTTCAGCATTTGACTTAGCAAGGACAACTTCAGGTGTATCCACAATGCTTGTATACTTGAGCTTCACCACAGGGGTCCGATAGACACTGTCACACAGGATCTCCTGGGCATTTTTAACTCTCAGTACCTCAGGAGACCCTTCTGGCATCCAACCAATGCCACGAAGCCATTCCAAGTCAGCCTTGTAGATAGCCTGGGGGAGACGACACAGTTAGTAGATACGGCATTGTCTCTTTCTGATTGTGACAATAAAATAAGGGAGCCATTTTCTTTATGTTGTATTTTCTTTTTCATGAGCAATAATGTAAAAGAGCACTAGCCTGGCATAGTCCTCTCCGCCCCCATACACAGCAGGGTTTTGTCTCAGCGCTTCCTGTGCCGGAGTCGACACTGACGTGCCCATGTGTACATGCGGCGGAAGCAGCCCTCCACTTGGGCATATGCATGGATGACTCACGACTGACATCTAGCTAATCACCACACTAGCTAAGGTAGAGTTTTGAAGCAATAAAATGGCTCTCCACATAACCAGAATGACCCTTCAAAGTTCACATTCAAATCTGGAACCACTGACTGCCCCTCATATAGCTCCTACAGGTCTCAAGATAAAGAACAAACGCTTCAGCATGGACTGGTACTAGTCGCCACCGTCCCTTCCAACCTCCCCTCCTACATTCCCTCTGTGTACTGCTCACACTGGCTGTCCTGTCCCTGAGTGTCTTCTGTGTGTCCTCTTCACCGTCATAAGCCTGCTAACTCAGAATGTCCTACTTCTCTTTACACAGTGGCACAGATGTCACTTTCCCAGCCGTTCCACTGGTTCTCTTTCATTAGAATGTAGTTCCGTATCACTGTCAACTCCCTCAAACCAAGAGCCACATCTTGCTTTTTCTTCCTATCCTTTGCGCTAATAAAATGCTGGGCACATGGCATATTTAATAAGTATTTTTAGAGGGATAATTAAGAATTCAAAAACCAACGGAACAATTTTTGGCATTAATTGAGTTTTCTTTATCTCAGATAGTCCTTCTCTTCCAACTGGGATCTGCCTTATTCTTGATTATCATACCACATATAAAAGATAAGCAGATAAAACTGTTCTATTGTTAAAACACCAGCAATTAATATAAAAAGCTATTGCTTAGAGATGATATTTTAATAACTAGTTATGGGACACAAATGTCAAGCTAAAATGGGAATAAGAGAATGAAAATATTAGAAAATCTCAAAAGAAAATCTTAAAATAAGTTAGCTTCAAAATTCACATTTCCCTGTTTCAGTTTTAAAGGGTGTGATTTAAATACATGTCTCAACATACTAATGCAGTTTATTCTAAAACTAGTCTGCATCTGCCACCAGGCAACCTAAGTCATTTACAGGCATACTATCTTTAATAATTTATTCAATATTTAATAAGTATCTTTTAAAGAATAAGGAAACTCAGTTCAGAAAATTAAAAGAAGACATCCATGCTACATAAGAAATACATAACCTTGGTCTGGAAAGATGGGGCTGTGGTTGAGAACACCGGCTGCTCACAACTGTGAGGACCCAGCTCACAACTGTGCGTTACGTCAATTCCACTGCCTCTGCAGGCACCAGGCACATACATGGTGTGCAGACATGCATGCAGGCAAAATACCCATACACATAAAATAATTTAAAAAGAAACACAACTTTATGGAATCCACCATTTTAGATAAACTGAATAAGCAAAGATAAATAAATCTAAAAAATGCCTTGGCTAAGATAAACGCCCTGATGCCAAGAACATTCCATTCTGGAAAATAGGTGAGCTTAGAGGATTTCTCTAAACTTTGAAATTAATTCCAAGGAAGTCATCACTGTTGTTTGTAAATATACAGGTGAAGGGGCATGGATATTCTTACACTGAACAGACCATAAGTGTTAAATATCTCAGTAAATCTCCAGGAAAATTCTGGTAGCACCTTTTCAATGAAAATTAGAACTTCCTGAGAAAATCTAGCCATAGCAGAGTCAATCAAAAAAAAAAATCTGACAAAATAGTAAAGGGCTGTGCTTACATGGGGAGAGTTAGGCTTTCTAGAGTGCTGACAGGAGTCAGCATGCTAAGCTTGAAAGGCTTTCTTCCCAGAGACACTTACATCACTCTGTAGGTCATAGGCTTTCCTGGCTTGGATCACATCATTCTGGTCGGGAAAGCAAGACCACTGGTGCAGGTACTGCCGATAATCCACATTGCTTGCTAATGCCTGGCCCTCTTTGGCAGCATTGATGGAGACCATGTCCACTGGGATGGAGATCTTGGCCTTGTGGTCATTGTAGGCTTTTTTGTACAGCCTGTCGTTTTGCATCTTCAACACATTTGCTGCCCAAACCAGTTTTGGGTCTTCCTTGGCACTGGGGCATCCAATGTAATGGCCTTTCTGCTTCTCATAAGCAGTCTTGTACAGATACTGGGCAATATGGGCACAAGAAGGAAGATAAGGTTTTCCAAGCTTGCTTTTACTAAAGACAACATTTTCCATCGACCACAATCCCACCTCCCTTGGGTCACTTTTACTTTGGACACTAATTTTCTCTAAGTCAATGCCACAATTTTTTGTGCATTTTTTGCTACATCATTTTTTTTTCTAAGAGTGTATGTCTGGAAACACTGTGGGCATCCTGAAGATAAGGCTTCCACCTGGACATCTTGCCACTCAAGCCTCATCAGCATTTCCCAGACTTCAGTCACTGTTACCTTCAGATGTTTTATCATAAACAACCATAACCTTGTACTTCCTATCATGTTAAAGGAAACTGATTGCTTAGAGTTATTTTGAAATTTTAAACTTATTTTTAAACTTAGTTTTAAATGTGTAACATTTAAGTACAGGATAATCAGCCCCTCTGTTACATTAAAGTGAATTTCAGTATTAAAAAAATACTTGTCCCTGTGCCACCTAAAATTATCTTAGGAACCACAAATAGTATGTGTATCACACTTTGGGTTAACATTTTCTATGTTCATTAACCCAGCAAAACTGTGTCCTTTGATGTTGAGAAGATTTGGGGGTGGGTAAGAGAAATTTTGTGCATAAATATAGGAATTATTATAGGTTAGGAATCTTCTCAAATCACTGTACAAGTTGTTCTGGATTTGGAATTTTAAAATAATGCAGTAAGAAAAATTACTGGTATTCTATCTACTCTAATATAATTTCTGAGTAGTTAAGTCAAACTCCCTATGTGTTTAGGAGTCAGTGTTTGTGGACAAGAAAGAGCTCTTACGTCACTGGCAATATCCCGAGAAGCTTTGGCATGCTGGATCCCAATGGCATCTGCACGTATGTCATAACCTGTCATCTTGACATCTTCCCAAGCCTTCTGATACTGTTTCTGTAAATGGGGATTGCAATGCCACAGTAAGTCTGAAGAGGGAGCTGCTGAGTCAACATTATGATCAAGACCAACTATTAGCAGTAGAGGGCAGTGACAATAAAATACTACATTACTGATTGCATAAAATGACCTGTTGCTAACACTTCCGAGGAACGCAAGTCTTTTCAAGATCTATAGGACAAACTAGTTTCACATTGAATTTGACTTCCAGCACATTTTCAATGGTTTGTAGTAAAGGAATCTCATACATATAAATGACAGAAATTGCAGAGACAGAAAGCCATATAAAAATCACAAAACTATACATTGGCTGGCTTTTAGAGAAAAAAACAATAACAGTTCACCAAAAAGTAAAACCAAGCATTATGACCCAAATACATTTAAGTTACATCTTGCTTTCTTTTTGAGAAACCATTGTCTAGTCCTTTCCAGCAAGGACATATATATCCACATTATAAAAAGCAGACAGAGACACATGAATTCCTAGTGTCTTAAAGACTAGAAATAAAAGGGCTGTGCTTTTTGCACAACCTTTGTTGAATATGCTAAGGAAAGGTGTGGTAGACAGAGAGCACTCTGTGAAGCAAATATTTCAGCATCTTACATTGCTAATCTGGATGGCATTGAGTTTGGACTGCAGCATCACTGGCGTGTCAGCTGGCACATTGACGTTTGCCTTCTCTTTGTCCCAGGCATCACGATACAATGGCTGGAAAATATGAAGAGTAACAGTATGGCAGATTAGGAAGTCGCTTACCACATGAATATATACGTGTGTGTCTGTGAGTATTTATGTGTGTGTGTATAGTATTTTTATTTACAAATACCAAACAACTTCATAAATAATTTGTATATGATACAATATAAATTTAATATGGTAGCAAAAATTCTTGTCCAATTCCGCATCTAATTATCTTAATTATTAATTAATAATTATAATTATTAATTATCTTAATTATCTAATTAAGTCTATATTTCTGATAACAGACAATGCTAATTAGGACTTTGCTTTCTTAGCCAGAATAACTGCCATGATGTCTAAAGATGGGACTACCCCTGGACTTCTCACCCTATGTTATCATTGAATAGCCACAAATAAGGGACAATTCTGTGGTTATAGTATTAAGTAGCATTTTAGTTTGCAACTTCAAATGCAATTAAAATGTGCATCGGAGTCTGGACCCAGTTGTTCTGACCCAAGATGTATCACATGTAGAGATGGCTCTGAAGATCTGGACTACTAGGCTGTGCCCCAGATCTTACTTCCTGTGCTGTGGGCAATTTGAAGTTAACAATCTGAATTCCTCCTGATTGAGATCTGTCCTGGAAACGTAACCACACCAGCTCACCTGGCTGATTTGCAGAGCATTGGTCTTCGCCAGGATCACTTCTGGAGTGTCAACAATGCTAGTGAATTTGTAGGCCTCAGGCCTGATCCGATACAGCCTTTCATTCAACAGATTCTGAGCATTCTTCACTCTCATCACTTCCACGGAACCCTCTGTCAACCATCCGATACCCTTCATCCATTCCAGGTCTGACTTGTACACATTCTATACATGGAGGAGAGAAACACAGTAGGAAGACTCAAGTTAGCCAGTCAAAGTGCAGTGAAGACTGCACATAACTTGAATCTTTGCATGTTGTATCTCTGGCATCTATCTTTAGGAGAAGTTCATGGTCTCTTGTGGGAACTGGAGCATAGCTCACAGGTGGCACTTGGTAGGATGACAGACAGTATCCTACAATGGGTGGAACAATAGTTAGAAATGGCACATAGTTTTGTTTTTGTGTACACAGTTTTGTGCTCACCACTTGAAGTCTATCTTTCATGAATAATAGCTGTAACAATATTAGGGAGGAAGCCCTTTAGATGTATGCATAGTAACAAAATACCTCTACATTATTTTCTACATGTATCAATTAAATTAAACCAATATTTCCTTATGCTTTCATCTATTTCTGAAATTGGACATCTGATCATGAAAAGGTCAGAACAGTGGAACCAAAATTTTCTATTTAATTGCACAGGATAAGACTGATTATTTAAAAAAAAAATCTTGGTGAATAGGATCCTGCTACCATCAACAAGAGTACTTCACAAGATCGAAAATGTCAGGACAGCTTGTATTGTTACTATAGGTTGTCCAGAATGCCTTATGTCTTAGAAGATTGCTATCTAAATGATGCCTCTGGAGGATACAGTTAGACGCACAGACTATCTCCCTGGAGGCCATGACATACGCACATCGCTTTGCAGCTCGTAGGCTTTCTTAGCCTGGATCACGTCGTTCTGATCTGGCAGACATGTCCACTGGTGCAGGTAATTGCGATAATCAATGTCGCTGACCAGGACTTGGCATTTCTTGGCTTGAACAATTGACATCATGTCCAAGGGTGTGTTGTAAATCCCTTTAGACTTCTCATAGGCTTTCTTGTATTCTCTATCACTCTGGATCTTGGCAGCATGTATAGACCATACCAACTTGGGGTCATCTTGCAGGCTGCGGAAACCCACATGGTGGCCTAGCTGCTTTCTGTAACCTTCTTTGTATTTGTACTAATATTGTAAAGAGAGAGAGAGAGAGAGAGAGAGAGAGAGAGAGAGAGAAGACAATAACATCAATATTTTTCTTTTAAGTTAATTTAGAATCTTAATGCAAATTGACTCAACACTGGAAGCCATTATATGTTTAAGTCCAAGGAAATCAGGACTATTTTAGACAGAATAAATCAGGAAGAAAACAATATGGTGAATTAGAATAATGTAAAAAGATGAATTTTTTGAGCAATCACTACTTAAGACCTACTACAAGAGCTTCAAATATGTGAGATTTATTCATACCAAACTGATAAGTATTTATTCCAAAATAGTTAAGCAGTGGCAATTATAATCACAGTTAATTCTCATAGTGTTTCGGTGAGATGGGTCCTACACTATCCTATAATTCAGAAGAAGATGGCACAGTGAGGGTACCAAGGTTGCTGGGTAGGTGGAGGGTTCAGTCAGACAGACCCAGGGCACCGAAGGGACCTTGGGTAGGGAAGAGTCGTAGGCATGGTTTTCAAGACTGGAAAAAACATATACATTTTTCATAAAGGAAGATCACTGGTTTCAAACAGGAAATGACAATAGGTCTGTGGAAAAGAGCCTCTGTTTGATAAGCTCTGGAGGGAGATGGTACCCTTTTCTTTCTTGTGTTTGGACAACCTAGAAATATTTGGATCAAATGGAGAGAACTGGGATTAAATTGTGGCCACTGGTAGCTAAAAGGAGAAAATGAGGATGGAGCAGGAGGAAGCAGCTATGTTATAGATGAGGAGAAGAGAGAACCAGAGAAAGGAGGCCATGTTTAAGGCTTGGAGCTGGGAGTAGAGGATGGCTTGGAGGACAACCATGTTATTGCTAGTGAACATTAAATTAGAATGAAGTGACCTTGAAAATGTTGGTGAAATATTATACATAAGCCTCCAGCATAAATTATTTGATATAAAATATGACTTCAGACTTAGTTGTACAGAATGATCATCATTTATACTGTGGAGAAAGCCAGAAATATTTGGGGATAAAATTTCAGCCAAAATTTTAAAAGTGTCTTCATATTTAGTTGTTACTGACAAACAATGCAGAAGACAAATGCAATTGTTTGCATGGATTTAAAAAAGAAAGCAGGATTCTTGAAACAGTCTATTTGTTTATGGGGGAGAAAACTCAAAGGCAGATAGAAGGAAATTACCTCACTGGCGATTTCTCTGGAGGCTTTGGCATGCTTGATTTCAATGGCATCTGCTCTTAAGTCATAGCCTTTCTGTTTGGCTTCATCCCAGTCCTTTTGGTAGAGTTTCTAGTGAGCCAGAACACAGGTTTGTTTAGAAAATGAAAACAGACTTGTAGTAGGCATAACAGACATCATAATCCATAATGTAAACATGGTGTAGGAAAAGCATTCATTGCTGAATTCCTTTGCTGTTGGAGGCTTGCTTTGTAGTAGAAAATACCTCTGATGTAAAATGTTAATGCTAAGCATCTAGCAGGGTGGGGGAAGGATATAGGAGAAAGAAGAGGGGAGAAGGGAAGTGGGGAGGAGAACATGAGGGATCAGGAAGGTTGAGATGGGGGAAGAACAGAGGAGAGCAAGAAAAAGAGATATATTAATAGAGGGAGCCATTATGGCTTTAACAAGAAATCTGGCACTAGGGAAATCTCGAGAGACCCACAAGGATGACCCCAACTAAGAATCTAAGCAATAATGGAGAGGCTATCTTAAGTTCTCTTCCCCTATGAGATTGATGACTGCCTTAAATGCTATCATAGAGCCTTCACCGAGTAGCTGATGGAAGCAGAAGCAGAGACCCACAGCTAAATATTGAGCCAAACTCCTGGAATCCAGTTGTAGAGAGGGAGGAGTAATGAGCAAAGGGGTCAAGACCATGCTGGGGAAACCCACAGAAACAGCTGACCTGAGCAAATGGGAGCTCATGGTCCACAGTCTGACAGCTGGGGAAGCAGCATAGGACAGAACCAGGTCCTCTGAGCGTGGGTGTCAATTGGGAGGCCTGGGAAGTCTATGGGGCCTCTGGCAGTGGAACCAGTATTTATCCCTAGTGCACGAATGGACTTTGGAATCCATTCCCCATGGAGAATCTCTCAGCCTAGATACACAGGAGAGAGCCTGGGTCCTGCCCCAAATAATGTGACAGACTTTGATGATCCTCCATGGAGGGCCTCAACCTTCCTGAGGAGTGGATGGGGGTGTGTGGGATAGGGTTTGTGGGGGCAATGAGAATACAGGAGGGAACCAGGATTGATATGTAAAATATTAATTAAAAATAAAATAAAAAGAACTTCTATCCATAGATGCTAAAGAAAAAATAATTTAGCACCAAAAGCCATGGGAATTCCTCATCAGCTAGATGACAGAGGTGTTTGCACTCCGTATTTATTCCTCTTACATTGCTAATCTGCAGGGCATTGATCTGGGCCTGCAGCATCGCTGGAGTGTCCAAGGGAATGCTGATGTTGGTTTTATCTTTATTCCAGGCTTCCTGATACAGCCTCTGTAAACAAGAGGAACCATCATTTTAACTCAGTAGCAGAGAACGGACAGCTGAAACATTAAGCCTTAGCAACCATTTTATCTAAAAGCAAATGTTTCTGTATGTGTTTATAATGGCTGCTTTAGTGGGCAGGCAGTGATGCTCAGACATATAGCCTGGCATTACTCAGTAGACTTCAAATAGCACAATGTGCTCTCTATTGTGTGGATGGGACTTGTCCATCAGTTGAAGGCTGTAATACTCTTACTTCCCTCAACCAGAAGGAATTCTGTCAGCAGACCAATCTTAACAGTGAGCTGTCATTCTTCCCTTCGTTCCCAACCTTCTAATCTATCTTGTGGGTTCTAGAATTGCCAGCCTGCATAACCACATGAGCCAATTTCTTAAGACTGTAATCTCCTTCTACATAGACATTTACAGAAAGATCCCCTTGGATCTGTTTCTCGGGGGACTCTTGACTCATGCGATGCTACACTATTACATAGTATTATGTCCTGTGCCTTGGTACTAATAAGAGTTAAATACTTATTTCCTGGAATTGCTATGGAGTGACAGTTTAGTGCTTCAAAGTCCCTATGAGAAGGGAAAGACACATTTTTTCCCCTATCAGAGTTCTACTTCCAACATAACCGTGCTAAGATAGTTGAGAGACCCTCAGATCTGCCCCCTAATTGGAGTTCTTTGAGGAGGCCAGTCTGTTTCCTCAGCCTTACTTGTCTTTATCTGAACACAGTATCTGGAAACATGAAAGTTCAGTGGCTGAGCAGCTCTTACCTCACTCATTTGCAGAGAATTGTTTTTTGCCAGGACAACTTCTGGAGTGTCGACAATGGAGGTGAACTTCAAGGCTTCTGGTCGTGTCCTATACAGTCTTTCATTCACAAGGTCTTGAGCACCCTTCACTCTGGTCATTTCTACGGAGCCGTCTGGCATCCAGCCAATGCCACGCAGCCACTCCAGGTCAGCCTTATACACACTCTGCCAAGATGTCAGACCACAATGTTAGACATGCTGCCCTCTGTTAGCTGAGAACCCAAGGGTTTGAGGAGAGGGGCAGAGAAGCTGAATGTTAGACATGCCCTCTGTTAGCTGAGAACCCAAGGGTTTGAGGAGAGGGGCAGAGAAGCATGGGGGAAGTTGGTACTACACAAGGAAGAGCTATGTTCTTACAGGATCCAGGGTTTTTAATACTGATGACAAAAGTAATTTGTGAAAGCTTGGTTATTTCTACTATGAATTACATGCATAATTATTTGAAATGTTAAAACAATTTCATAGCTGGGAAACATTTACAGGGAACTTCTGTTTCATCTCATTCCATTTTAACCCTGTGATAAGTGACTCACTTGGTCTTTAGTGTTTTGGAACTGGTGATAATCATTTTAAAATGTTCATATTTACTATATCTGTTTGACTGGCCAGAAATTACAAATGGCATGAAAAAACAGTTTGCAAATAAAAGACATGGCCTCAGTACAGCTATTCATCTTTGTATTTTGCTTGCCATGGTTTTTCTATTAAACAGTGTCAATGATGCTTCCCTCCTGGTCTGGGTTATTCACAGCCTACAGATCTATGCCCAGAGGCCCCAACTGAACAACTAACAAATATCTTTGCCTTTGTATCCTCCCTTCCCCCGAGCTCATGTTACATACATCGCTCTGTAGTTCATAGGCCTTCTTTGCTTGGATAATGTCGTTCTGATCAGGTAGGCAAGTCCAGTTGTGCAGGTAGTTCCTGTAGTCCACATCGCTGACCAGAGTCTGGCACTTCTTGGCCAGCACCAAGCCTAGCATGTCCACTGGGCTGCTGAACTTGGTCTTCCACTTCTGGAATTCCTTCTTGTACTCCCTGTCACTGTGAATTTTCCCTGCATGCATGGCACACATGATCCTGGGATCATCTTCAACACTCTGGGCTCCAATGTGGTGGCCTTTCTGCTTTTCATAGGCTTCCTTGTATTTGTACTAGAATGCAGAAACCAGTTTAGAAACCCAGGTTTAGATCACACGACATGCACGAGAATTTCAAACCTCAACTTTCTAACATCCCAGGATATTATTTTTATGCTTTTCTGCTACCATGAAAATAATTGGGTGGGAGACCTGGCTCAGGGGTTAAGGGCACTGGCTGTTCTTCCAGAGGACAAGTGCTATTCCCAGCTCACAACCTGTGTCATTCTAGGGGATCAGATACCTACTTGAGCCATTCATACAGTGTGCAGACATACATGCAGGCAAACACATACACATATAATATACAATAAATTAAATTTAAAAGAGTGTAATGATTGATATATCCTCATTCTTGAGAATCTTCCTTGCAGCACCTTTAATTCCAAAATGTATTTTCTGCAAAAAGAGGGGAGAGACCTGGCAAAATGCACACAGAAGCAACTGCAAAGTGCTTCTCTAACCAGAATGCTCAGCACTATGGAAAGCACAGCATCTAAAGGGAAGAAACTCACATCACTGGCAATGTCCCTGGAGGCCTTGGCACTTTTGATGGAAATGGCATCCTCTCTCAGGTCATAGTCCTTCATCTTTGATTCATCCCATCCTTTGGTATACAGTTTCTAGGTAGAAGGTAAAACACAACAGAAAATGGAACTGTTTTAGAAACCCAACAGGCCACTTCCAGAGAAGACTTTGTTAAGGTGAAAAACTTTTCAATGGCTTCTAAGGAGACTTAAACCACAACCTGAGAACATCACTCACCTGGCTGATATTGGCAGAATTGCTCTTGGCCAGCAGGATTTCAGGGGTGTCTGGCATGACATGGATGGAAGCTTTGTCAGCATCCCAAGCTTCTGTGTATAAATGCTGTGGAGAAGGAAGAATAAAACCTGCTGAACCCAGTCACATTAGTTATCATCAACCATAACACATTTTACTACAAACAGAGCCTTTTAAAGGTAGTAAAACATGGCAACATTGAAACAACTAGCACATGGCCTGAGAGTATTTATAAACCAATATGACAGCCTTATTGTGACTCATTTCCACCCAGTGAACCCTGTGCTTCCTCTTGGAACTTCTGGAGAGCACTTGGTTACACAGGTATGATAGAGCAGAGATCGCATAGAGAAGTCAGCCTCAGGATGAAATGCAACCCAACTTACTGCACGCTGAATGCTCTTGGGAAGGGTGTGTATGTATCACACTTCTCCTGTTTAAAGGTGGTTGACAGTGCCTTTAGATAGTTGATTATTTAAAACATTATAATATGTAAAATGCCTTGAGTCATAGTAGATTCTGTCTTTGTCTATGTTCTTTGTGGTGTTCTTGATGGATATGGTGTAGTGTAAACTACTTTCTGGAGTTTTATTCTGTAAACTAACTCCTGGAGAGGCAATTTCTAATTCTCTCCTGAGAGCTCATTCTCACTATCAGAATGGCTGAAAGACATCCAGGCAGGGTTAGGAGATCTCATGTAGGTTCAATGTGACCTCAAATGCAAGTATATTTACTAAGGGTTTATTGATTTGATAAAGGATGAGCAGATAAATGGGACTCTGCAAATAACAATTTTCTATCCTGTGTGATCAAGCTACAGGCAATGGCACCAGCTCAGTTTTTAAAGGGGATTTTCACAGTCTAAGTCAGCAGTACAGAAGAGGCAACTATTGCATGAAACATGGACCAAGAAACCAGGGGCCTATATCTGCTCCACCTGGGCCAATAACAGGGGCCTATTTCTGCTTCACTTGTGCCAGTGTTCCAAGCAGAGGCAGGTCACAGCTGAGGACCACATGTGTATAGGTGTAGGGAGATCAGCCTGAGGCTCGGCTTTTACATGTATGCATGGTTAGAGGGCACAGTTGGAGAAAAGTACAGCAATCTAGCTAGAATTCCTGCAGTCTTTCTGTGGGAGGCTGCAGACTTGGGCCCTTTCCTGATTGTAGCTCCTTGGCCCACCTGGGCATTTCCCACATCACAGGACAAGTCCATGGGAGGCCTGACTCTGGTGGCAGGAAACCATTAAGGACTCACCTTGCTCATTGTGATGGCATTGTTTTTTGCCAGGACAATTTCTGGGGTGTCTGTGATGCAAGTGAACTTGAGCTGGTCTGCAGGCTGGCGATACTTCCTGTCACTCAGGATTTCACCTGCTCTCTTCACCTTCTCGACTTCAACAGAGCCAATGGGAACCCATCCAATGCCTCTCAGCCACTCAAGATCAGCTTTGTAAACAGCCTACAAATGAAAGTGTTAGGCATTCAGACATGACCTACTCATTTGACTTTGTACATATACAAGTAACTACTGAATCATAGTTGTGTACAATTTTAGGAAGATCCATCTTTGTTTAAAATGGTTTATCAAACACCTTGTCCCTGAAGTTGGCTGATGTTCACTGCTTTTCTAAGACCTATAAAATCTCTTCAACACTTGATTTCAGTGGAACAAAACAACATTAAGGATGTTACTGCCTGACGTCTGGAGAAAGGTGCTTGCTGTCTGATGTGACACTCACACCTCTTCATATGGGAATCCTCATTTGGAACAGAGCGGGCTCCTATCTTGTCTGGCAGCAACCTTCACAGATACATGGTAGACACAGGGGTGAATACTACTGACCACTTGGGAATTAATATGCTTTCTTATGCAAATAGAAGTAAAAATTTTACATGACTTTATGTTTGTGCTTCTGAACTATGTTTTTCCTTGTATTTATTCTTAGTCCTTTTGCTTGTCTTGGATTTCATTTCTTTTGTTGGATTTAAATAATCAGCTATAAGAAAACTCTCCTTATAAGTAAGGGAAACATTTTGTTTTTAAGGTTTTTGAAGATCTTTTTCTGTATTTATAATGCCATTACTTTAATAATTCTTCTAGAAGCAACTATTTAGTCAGAGCCCAATCAAAACAAGAAGCTATTGAATCAATAAGGGAGTGTCCGAGAGGCCTCAGGGTGCCTACTGCTGACAACAAAAGTGTCCCTTGTGTTTTTAGGTCACTGTACAATTTCAATTTCCTAGAAATTGGTCAAAATGTGCATGACTCATTCCTAAACATTCATTCCAAAATTATTACTGATGCTTCCTGTAAGAAAAGTGAATCAGTAAAAGGATGATGCAATCAATCCAATTGGGAAATAATTAGTTTGCTTTAAATCAGGAATTCTTAACCTGAAATCAGTGAACTTTGACATAACTAAATCTAACATCCATATTTTTATTGACATCAAACTGAAACATATTGTTCAGTCAAGTAAAAGAATGGGTAACAGATTATAATACTATTAATAATACATGTGTCTTAGTCAGCAATAGGTGTTATGGGCACTTACATTACTGTAGATGTCACAGACTTCTTAAAATATTTATGCCCTTTACATGTCTTTAGAATTAGTTATTATATCCAGAACTAGTTTTATAGGTATGACTATAATTATCTAATGTGTTAACAAATAAGTATACATATTATCATAGCTCAGGTTTGGTTTAATATTTTCATAATCATTCTCAATATAATTGATTCCCTTTGAGCCCAATACTTATTTTGCTTATTTCATGGGTTTTATTAGACTTTCCAAAGATTCTATGACACTGAAAATTTAAGATTTCCCCACTAAACTGTTTGAACAAATGGTTGAAGAGTATTAGACCCACTCACATCACTTTGCAGGTCATAGGCCTTCCGGGCCTGAATGACGTCATTCTGATCAGGCAGGCATGTCCATTCATGTAGAGGATGCTTGTAGTCTATATCGCTTACAAGGATCTGGCACTTCTTGGCCAGCACCACCCCGAGCATATCCACTGGGCTGCTGTACTTGGTCTTCCACTTCTCAAAGTCCTTCTTGTACTCCCTGTCACTCTGGATCTTGGCCACGTGTATGGACCACATCATCTTGGGGTCATCCTTGATGTTCCGAGCCCCAATGTGGTGGCCCAGCTGCTTGCGGTAGCCTTCCTTGTACTTGTACTGAAGAAAGAAAAGGTATGTCAATCTGATGAAAAGAACACATACTACTTGCGTATATTTCCCCCACTATTATCAAGTAGAACAAAGACATTTGTCACCTACCCATTTATAAAACAGGATCTTGATGGTCACAGTCCATGTTTATAGCAGGGTTGAGCCTAGACTGCAGGGCTCCTTGTATTTTGTATTCTGCCTGTCTCTAAACTACACTACCCAGTATATATTGAATTCCTTAACAAGTAAACATACAGTGATTTTTAAAATCATTAACATTAAGAATATTTTAGAGTATCTCTCTTGTTGTTAGACCTTAGAATGAATTCTTTGGTCAAGGATATGCACCACATTTAGGTAGAGTTTATGTGGCATGAAACTATTTTCCTTAATAGCCTGACAACAGTATGGACAGTTTGCAGGAGAGTCATTCCTTGGAGTTTAGACTCTATCTACTTTTAAAGTTCAAAAATAAAGTATCATGGCCCACTTAACCATGAGAGTTAGAGAGTGGGTATTCCCAGCTTAGCAGCTGAGAACACTGTGATGACGGAATGAATGATTGGTTCAAGGTCTGGGATGGGTACAGGGAAGAGTGTGTGTCCAAGGAGGTGGCTTGATGTGCAGAACACAGACACTCTCTGAAGGTGTTTCTTATGCATGGAAAAGGAGAGAAGAGGTGAATCAATGTTGAGAAGTCCCACGTGCTTCACAGTTTGTTGGTTCCTATTAGGGACTTCTTACAAGAGAAGTTCATGGAGGATGAAAAAACTCTAAACTTGCCCACCATCTGTCCATGTCCTCCATCCAGCCTTCTTTCATACCACAGTAAATACATGGAAGCAACAGGAAAAAGGTCATATCCACACTAGAAGAGCTTTACCTGTAGTGTCAGTCATTTTAATTTCATAAATATCTGGATTAACTACTGCTCAATTTCTGGGGTTCAAAAATAAAATATGGACTGGACCCAGCTTGATGGCAGAGTCATCATTAGTGTAAGCAAGACTCTGGGTTCCATCCCCAGTACCAAAAAACAAAAAAAAGAAATCAGCAGGTCTTTAAAAAAATGACTGCTGAAAAGGTGGGGAGAGGAGGAAATGGGGGAGCAGGAGGGTTGATTTGGGGGAAGAATAGAGGAGAACAGGATGAGCGATACCATAATAGAGGGATCCATTATAGATTTGAGGAGAGATCTGGCACTAGAGAGATTTCCAAAGATCTACAAGGATGACACCAACTGGAAATCTAGGCAATAGTGGAAAGGCTACCTTAAATGCCCTTCTCTGATAATGAGATTGAGGACTACCAACTATGCCACCCTAGAGCCTTTATCCAGTAGCTGATGGAAGTGGAGGCAGACACACACAGCTAAACACTGAACTGAACTCCTGGGATCCAGTTGCAGAGAGGGAGGAGTGATGAGCAAAGGGGTCAAGAACAGGCTGGTGAAACCCACAGAAACAGCTGGCCTGAATAAGGGGGAGCTCAGGGACCCCAGACTGATGACTGGGAGGCCAGCATGGAACTGATCCAGACCCCCTGAACATGGATGTCATTGAGGAGACCTCGACAATCTATAGGGCCTGGGGTAGTAGACCAGTATTTATCCCTGGTATACCAATGGACTTTGGGAGCCTGTTATACATGGAGGGATGCCCTCTGAGCCTGTACACATGGGGGAGGGCCTAGGCCCTGCCCTGGATGAAATGACAGACTTTGGGGATCCCCCATGGAGGACCTCACCCACCCTGGGTGGGGGACGGGGGAGGAAGGGAGGGAGAGGGAGCTGGGATTGACATGTGAAGCAGGCTTGTTTCTAATTTAAATAAAAATGCTCTTTAAAAAATGACTGCTTTAGAGACTGAACCACCAACCAGGTAGCCTACATGCGGCTGACCTAGGTCCTCAGCACATATGTTATAGTTGTGTAGCTTGGTCTTCTTGTGGGACTCCTAACCGTGGTAGCAGAGGCTGTCTCTGACTCTGTTGCCTGCTTTTAGGACCCTAAAATGAGGGCAGAGTGGAATCAGTAGGGTGGGTGGGGTGGGGAGAGACAGTGGAGGGAGGGACTGGGAAGAGGGAGAGGAAGCTGCAGTTGGGATGTAAAAATAAATAAATACAAAACAAACAAAAGTAATTATTGTTTTAAAAAACCAGGTGGACTTTACCTGACTAACAAGCATAATGGGCAGGGGTCAGTTCCTTCATTGCTTCCCGCCCATCTCACTCTATCTTAGTGTAGGAGGGGGCACTAAAGGAGGATGAAACTTGGAAGTGCAAGCAAGTTCTAGAGAGAAATATTCCAAAAGCTTCCATCTGACAACATTTTAAAGAAAGAAATGGTTCTTAAAAAAAAATCAACTTACATCACTAGCAATCTCCCTTGAAGCCTTGGCTGCTCGGATGGGAATGGCATCCAGGCGCAAGTCATAGCCTTGCTTCTTGGCCTCTTCCAGCGCCACTTTGTAGAGTTTCTGTGGAAAGAGTCCTTAGTCACCACTCCCTTCAGAAGAAACGAAGCTGATTCCTGTTAAATGTCTTCTGTCCTCATTTCAGTCGAAACGAATCCCCTAAATACTCTTGTGGCTTTGTAGATAGTTATGTTTCATAGGCCACAGATCCTATGGCACATGTTTGACACATCAAGTTTTCTTGACCAATAAATCTGAAAACTGTTTCGGGGTGCATCAACATTTGGTTGCAAACATCTTATTTTTCCAAATGAGTGCACATAAAAATCCAACACTTACTAGTGCCTCACAGTCTTAAATAAGGAAAATGTTTTTAAATGGGGTATATTTGATTTTATTGAAAGCCCAGTGCATGTGGACCACTACAGTGGACCATGACTGATTTGGAGTTACTGCCATTATGAAACTATTTGTACAGATGGAGATGACTACATGAAAATCTGCAGTAATACCAAATGAGAACTAGAGAAGGAGCATACACAGTGTCTAAGAAGGGTTTGTTCTAAGAGCTTTCTCTTCATACCAAGTCCTTTGTCATCCAAGTCCCTTAAAAAATGGGGTCAGTAGCCTATGCACATCCTTCTGGACGTATCTCCCTTTTCAGGTCTTGAAAAAGATCAAACTGACCTGAATCCAGAGCATGCTCAACCTCACAATCCTCCTGCCTCAGTCTTTCTTCTGAGTGCTGGGATTTACAGACATGGCCTACTTTGCATGACAATCATCTCCAAGTTATTTATGATACATAATACAATATAAATCTATGTAGTTATATGGGATCTGATTCAGGGAACAATAACAATAAAAACTCGACTTTCAGAGCAGCTACAGTGCTTTTGAGTATCTTTAAGCTAGTGGTAAACATAGATGCAGGACCATACTTGTGGCAGCTGACTACAGGGACCTTGTACCCATGGCTGATCCAAAGAAGGTTTTAGAGGAGTGACACTTCAGGATATTTCCCTATAAACCCTCCACTTCCTGACTGGAAACCAAAGCCTGGCCTTCCTTGTGGACCCACCACATAGCCCAAGATTAAATCAAGGGTGAACTGCTTTTTTTTTTTTGCCAACAATGTTAGCCAAAATGTTAACTAAGGGGGAAACATTACAATCCCTCATTTTGCCTCTCTGGACACTCACATCACTGTAGTTTATCCTGTTGAGTTTGGCCAGCATGATTTCTGGTGTGTCTGGCATGACGTGGATGGTTTTCTTGTCATTGTCCCAGGCTTCTGTGTACAAGCGCTATAAAAACAAAACAAAACAAAAAATGGAGAAAATTATTTTGGTGTCCACAGAAATTGTTAATCTCTTTGATACAAAATAGAACTAAATTTATTAAGGCTATATCCCTATGCTCCTTACTAAAATTTTATAAATAAATGCTTTAACTGTTAGATAATTTGACAGTTCTACAAAGTATAATTGGGGTTTGGTATTTAAAAATATGTCTGAGAAAGAATTATTGTCTCACAGCATTTACTGTTTTCTTTTTGAGACAGGGTTTCCTGTAAGCCCAGTTTGACTTTCTTTACATATAACCTTGAACTCTGGATCCTTCTATCTCTACATCACAAGTACTGGAATTACAAGCATGGGCCATCATGCCAGGCTTTATATGTAGTATGTAGGCATTTTAAGTAAGATTTCAAATTTATTCATTGAAAAATGTCTGAAGTATATATGTGCTGGCTAGTTTTATATCAACTTGATACAGGCTGGAGTAATTTGATAGAAGGGAACTTAAATTGATAATATATGCTTCTATAAGATCAGGCTGCAAGCAAGCCTGATGGGTATTTTCCTAATTAGTGATTGGTGGAGGAGGGCTCAGTCCATTGTTGTGGGGTTATCCCTTGGCAGGTAGTTCTGGGTTCTATAAGAAAGGCAGAGCAAGCCACGATGAGTAAGCAGCACTCCTCCATAGCCTCTGTATCAGCTCCTGCCTCCAGGTTCTTGCCCTGTTTGAGTTACTATCCTGACTTCCTTCAGTGATGAACAGTGATGTGGAAGTGTAAGCCAAATAAACCCTTTCCTACCCAAGTTGCTTTGGTCATGGTGTTTCATCACAGCAATGGTTATCCTAACTAAGACAGCATACAATGTATATTGATCAAATCCTCTCCTCCAACTTCTTCAGGATTCCCCTAAAATGTCTCTTTCTCTCTCAACTTCACTCCTCTTTTTCATAGTATTTTAAACAAGAGTTTAATATTTTGAACATCACCAAGTAATAAATATATTTCAGTAGAAAAACATTTGTATTAAGACAGCTATTATGAGCTCAGAAAGCCAAAACCATTCTCTCTCTCTCTCTCTCTCTCTCTCTCTCTCTCTCTCTCTCTCTCTCTTATAAATATATAATGAGTTTATAGTAAATAAATAAAATGTGATCGAGAATGTCAACGAATGTAAGTGTAGGTAAAGCCTTCAAAAACTAGAAAGAATGTCAAGAAAAGCTAAAAAGTGTGGAGAAAAAGGAAAAAGAACACACATAGCACAAAAGCAAATGAGAGACTGGGTGAGGAATAAGATAAAAGGGGCAAAGGGGTGGAAGAGATGAGGAGGCAGAGCTACCAAAACACATTTCATGTCAATTAAAGTCATTTTTAGAAGGTGCGATCAGCCTTAGAGTAATCTTTGAGACATAATAGCATGGCAGAGTCTTTGTCTTACCCTGTGGCAACTCTCGAGGCTTCTTGGTGGAGAGTGAAGACTCACCTTGTTCATGTTTATTGCGTTGTTCTTTGCCAGCACCTGCTCCAGCGAGTCAGTTATGCTGGTAAATTTCAGTGTGTCTGGTCGCTGGCGGTAGATATTATCGCTTAGAATCTCCGTGGCCCTCTTGGCTTTAACAACTTCCAAGGAACCAATGGGAACCCAGCCAATGCCTTTCATCCATTCAAGGTCTGCTTTGTACAGATTCTGAAGGCCAATGGGTAAGAAAGATCTATTAACTATTCTTTATTGATTTATCCCAAAACGTATCACACTCAAGAAACCGGACTACTGAGGAAGTTGGGTGTGTGTAGAAATATGCTCAATGTATAACATATACATGTCCCAAAACCTTTAAAAATTAATTAGTGAAAAAAGTATAGAATTCCCACTAAACAGATAAAGCCTCCATCATACTCAGACACTGGTCCCTGACTAATACCCTGAATCCCCTAAAGACTTTTTCTTGAGCTTTTAAAAAAAGGGACATTATCTTGTCCTTAAGAAGTTTACAAGATCATTCACAGAGGACCAGTGCTCCTTAAGCCTTGGAAAATGTGTTCTAAACATTTCAAATTAAAACATGTGAGCAGATCAATGGCACAAAGTATGGGCAATCACAAAACCCTTGCCTTAATTTCCATCTCTAAAAATCCCAAAATATCAAGTGAGTAAAGGAAACATGCTGATAGAAAGATATGAGGTATTTATCTAGCTTATTCCTAAGAGGAAGAGCTAACTACTAATATAATTGGTTTTGAAAAGCAAGGATGTCTTCACATTTTCTTTTAATTTAAAGTATAAACAGTTATTAAAGTAATATAAAACAATGTGATTTTATCCCCAACCTCCATTAGCCTCTGCAGACATGTATTCTCTCTTTTCACTTCTACTTTTGTGGTCAAAAATTACTAGTTTTTCCTTTCCTTTCCTTTCCTTTCCTTTCCTTTCCTTTCCTTTCCTTTCCTTTCCTTTCCTTTCCTATCCTTTCCTTCCCCCCCTTTCTTGACAGAGTCTTATAGATAAGGCTGGCTTTGAACTCCCAATCTTCCTGCCTCCACTTCCAAAGTTCTGGGATTATAGGTATAAGCCACAGTGGCTGGGTCGGCAATGTTATTTTGAGGTCTAAGGTTTAGCTTATTCAGACAAAAGAAGCCTGAATCACTGGGAAACTAAATCCTGTATAATTTTTTTTCCTTTTTACCCACAATTTTGGAGGGGTTTCCAATGAGAAACTCCTTTCAGACATTCATTGCATTCTTTTAGGGACATATAGATTTCAAGCCCTGGTCACTAATCAGAATCTCAGATTTTCCTCTGATATGTTTTTATCCTATATCAGGGATACTTACATCACTCTGGAGGTCATATGCTTTCCGAGCCTGTATGACATCATTCTGGTCTGGCAGGCAGGTCCATTCGTGCAGGGGGTGTTTGTAGTCCACGTCACTGACCAAGGTCTGACATTTCTTGGCCAAAACAATACCAAGCATGTCCACCGGGCTGCTGTATCTTGTCTTATATTTCTCAAATTCTTTCTTATATTCACGGTCACTCTGCACTTTGGCAATGTGGAGGGACCACATCATCTTGGGATCATCATGTATGGCTCGGGCGCCAATGTGGTGACCCAGCTGCTTCCGGTAGGCTTCTTTATATTTGTACTGGAAGAGACACAACCCAGAGCATAAGAAAGGAGGAGGCGGTGGAGAGGACCGCTGCCTGCTGCTCCTGTGAGGGTACCCTCTGTGAAATTGGAAGACAAGCAGGTTCCTCAGCAAGTGCTGTGATGCCAAGCCTTGGGGCAAGAAGAGCCACTGTTCCTTCTGGAGGTCCTAGAAAATCATATGCTGGCAAAAACTGGCCCCAAATGAACACTGAAAGAGGCTGTCCAATCACAGCCATAAGCCAATCCAGTGCCCCAGAAGTCCTACCAGCCAGCCTGATAGAGAGCACCCAGGGGTGTGAGCCTACATGGCTTCTAGGGCTCTTCTCCTTGGAAAGGCAGAGAAAGATAGCACATATGTTACTCAAACCACACAAAGTCTCCAGGAGCATACATAAAGCCAGGAGGCATAGTTTTGAAAGACAATTTCTGTTATTTAGTAGGTGTGGAGTTTTGGTTTCATAAAATGAGAAAGTTATAGAGACATTTTGCCTGACAGTGGGAAAACACAGACTATTGAATCATACATTAAAAAACAGTTTCTGTGGTAAGTTTCACCTTTTGTGACCATAACTAAAAAGGTTCAAAAGCTATGAAGATTGACACTGCTTCTACTTTTGGATAACTTTAAACACGTCCGGGAATCTGTTATTTTCATTTTTAAGGGTACAGACACAATGACTTTATAGACCTCAGGACAAAGGGACCATCACCCTTTGGTTACTCTCCACCTGCCTTCCTGTGTGGGTGAACTCAGATAGGCCTATTTCATGTTTGGTTTCACTGTCTCGAGTGTATCACAAGATTCCATGAGCAGCTCAACACAAGTCCATCTGACTGCGAGACACCTGCTCTATTTAACAAAGACAAGAAACAAGAAGCAAGATGAACAGACCACACTGCAGTGCAGACTATGAACCTGGGGTCATGAGTGTCATTACCTACTGTCCCATTTTACCCAGTAGGGGGTTGGTGAGGTGCATGATGACCAGTGAGAAGTCCTAAATCTTACAGAAATGTCATCCCCTGTGCCAGTGGCTGGCCTGACTGGTTACACCACTAGCACTTACATCACTAGCAATGTCACGGGAAGCCTTGGCAGCCACGATGGGAATAGCATCACTTCTCAAGTCATAGCCTTCCTTCTTAGCTTCTTCCATGGCCTGGCGATAGAGGCTCTGGGGAAAGAAGGAAGACACTTTTAGTTGTAGAACTCACATTGGCTTGAAAACCACATTTTAGTTTTTTTGGTCAAAAGAAGACAACCCTTGGATGTAGAAGTATGCAGTCTTAACAAAAATGAAACAATAAAACAACAAATCAACACCCTTTCCAAGCTATTAAGTGGAAATTTCTTATTCAGTAACATCACACTTTCTTATACAAGTTCTCATAGGTCTTAGACACCAAATCAGCAGTTCCCAGTTGTGTTTAAGTCAGTGAGCAATTATTCCTTTCATAAAACAGCTGAGAAGTGTGCTATAACTACAGATTTGAAATAGGGATAATTTGCCTGGCAACCAGCATCACTATATAATAAAATATAACAAATCACTATAAGCATGTGCTCATAAGCAAAGTCATGCTGCAATAAGACTGGATGAATACATCTCAAAGTCTCTGTTAATATTTAATTGTTCATTAGTAATTGGTCTCAACTGCTGGATATTGGTAAAGACACAGCGATAGCAGATACCAAAGACTTAGGAGTCAAAATAAAAAAGATTCCTTTTTTTTTTTGAACAGAGAAAACACATCACTGTTAAGTTTTTGTGACAGAAGACTTCTTTGTTCACAAAAATTTTGTATCCTCCTGATATAGTATAGACTTTACAATTATTGCTAATACTGTATAAATCAAAACCAACACTCTGTTTGATTTCATGACAGTGTCTCACTATATAGCCCAGGTGGGCCTGGAACTTACAATCCTCCAACCTTATGTTCCTCAGTGCTGAGATAAGTTGAGGTTTGTGTACCATGCTTGGCTAAATATTTACTTTAGTAACTTCATACAATTAAAATTTGTTTATTAATCTCTTAATGAGATGTGTTACTTAGAGGTCACCGAGCTCTGAATGGAAAAGATTCTGATGGGCACTGATGAATTAAATGGTCTGTCTGCAGTTTTGTTTCAATACCCTCAGATATATGGTGCTGCACCAGTAACACAGGCATGCCTTTTGCATTTAGAAAGTGAGGCCTTTATGTAATCACACCTGGGCAGATATTTTAATGGATGTTTTGATACTTTGGAATGGGCGTTTTCCTCTTTGGAAAGCCCATAGAAAAGTTTCAAGACAAGTCAACATCAGTGAACATCCAACTTGCCACCATGTTTGTATTTCTCTCCTGTACTCATTTTTTTGTGCATTGTATATATTTCTTTTTTTTATTAGTTGTATATCTCTCTTTATCAGTAAGGAATACTTTAATGATAGAGACTAAACTAAATGCAGTGCTCTACAGCTTTTAAAATTTATTTTAAATTATTCAACCAATTAAGAAAATTATAGACACCACAAACTTCACTCCTAAATATTTTTGTAGAAGATTTACTTTATTTTTATTTATGGGTATGTATATGTGTCTATGTGAATATATGCCATCAGATCCCCTGGAGCTAGAGTTACAGGTGGCTGTAAGCTCATCTATACGGGGTATTGGGACCTGGGACCTCTGGAAGAGCAGGGAGCTCTCCTAACTGCTCAGTCACCTCTACAGCCCCAGAATATTTCTTTTATAACTGTGAAGTCATATAACCCATCTGCTATATCTTTCCATTCCAGAACAAATGCTTAAGTATGTCCTCATGGTACAACTGGGGAAAATGTACTGGAAAAATCTCATCACCTCAGGTCAGTTTTCTTTAATTTTTCCAACCTTTGAAAGAGACATGGTGTTTTGAGGCAGACAGCACTTTTCTTTATCTCCAAGGCTGTGTTTTAAAGCTTGTTTTGGGAAGTCATACATGCAGGGGGAACTAGAATAGATACATGAGCATATAAGAAGCAAGGCTGAGATGTGTCTATTTTATTTACACTCTGTGAACTGGGGGATGAAGGCACAAGGTAATGGCTTTCTAAGTCATTTAAGAGGGCCACTCTTAAATCTCATCTTCAGAAAACAGGGGTTGGGGAATTAATCTTGACATTTTAAAGAAAGTAAACCAAGTTGGAAATTTTGGAATTAAAAAATATCTCAGTATATTCTTACCAGTCTAAAGGGAAATAAATCTATTTCATTTCTCCTCAGGGGCCTCATCACAACCTGGGACAGAAGTCAGCCACTTCTGCCTTTGGATCAGCAAGGCCAGGTTAAGCAGAGAAACCCACCTTAACACAGAGTAGGAGACTCCCTAATGTGAATGAAACTCCCCTAACATGACTGAGCTGGACCAGGATTGCCCCTAATGTGGCTGAGCCAAGGTAGGAGGAGCCTGGTGTAACAATAGTGAGCTGGGGATGTTCAGATATTTATGGTGAGTCTGTTCTGTGATGATGGAGGAAGGAAAACCACACCTGTTTCATTGATTTGTCTTTGCTATATGGTATAAGAAGCATGCCTTTAAGACTCTTATTACAAATAGGTGTGATTAATACAGATAAAATAATAAACTTGATCAAGTTTTCAGAGTGAAAGCTTGAAGATAGTATACCTGAATTGATTAGATGAACTTTCCCCTTGGACAAGAACAGTTGAGTAAGAAACTATTTGTGCAGTTGTAATTCTGCACTGCAGAGGTGTTTTCCCCTTAGAATCTAATGTATCTAATAAACCTCAAAGACAAGAGAAATTTGTTTCATTGCCCTTAGGCAATTTTGAAAAGGATGAATTAAAAAAACCTCTCATTTGGATCTTGTTAATAAACTTCATTATTTTGAATATATTAAATATATTTAATTTTCTTTTATTTCCCCTTCCCAGGGAAATCCATGCATCTCTCTTTGTGCCCTCTTATATTAATTTTCATGGTGACTTGAGGGTAAAAGACAGACATTAAAATTTATTAATCCCATCCTACCCATGGTATGGTATAAATTTTACCTCATTTTGTCATTACAAAAATTTCTAGAGAGAGATTTTTATGGATGGGGTAACTGGAAGAAAACAAATATGCAGAACACATTTCAAAACAAGTTCGAATTTGCTGGACAACACAATTTCTTTGGATCTTTGTGTGTGTACGTCTCCCTTTCGCTCCGTGTGTGTGTGTGTGTGTGTGTGTGTGTGTGTGTGTGTGTGTGTGTGTGTGTGTGCATTTGTGTGTCTAAGCACACACATGCCATAGTGTACTTGTAGAGTCAGAAGACAGTCTGGAGTGTCAGTTTTCACTTTCTATCCTGTTGGAGACAATATCTCCTGTGTTTGCCTGGCTAGCTGTGCTGGGGATTTTCAGGGATCCTGTCTCTACCCCCACCTTTCATTAGTTCTGGAATTAGGATACTTGATAACACACTGGCTTCATATGGTTTAAACTCAGGTCCATTATATATGCATAGCACGTACCTTACCCACTGACCCACCTTTCTAGCTCCAGCAATAATTACTTTTACGATAACACACTGGCTTCATATGGTTTAAACTCAGGTCCATTATATTTGCATAGCATGTACCTTACCCACTGACCCACCTTTCTAGCTCCAGCAATAATTACTTTTAATTGAAACCATTGTTTACTTATTATTGGTTGGCTGTAAGGGCTGATATTTTTGTGTTTGTCTTTCTAATTATTTTGACACAATTATATCTAAATTCAAAGTAAGATAATTAGTATAAAAAAACCTAAGTTTAGTGGACTACATCATGACCATGATGAATAAAAGTCTTATGTTCCTACATCAGCAAAAAGCAATGTGAAGAGATGAAATAAAGAGACCATTGGTCTTACCTCACTGTAGTTGATTTTATTTTGTCTGGCCAGCATAATTTCAGGTGTATCAGGCATAATGTGGATTTGGGTCTTGTCTTTCTCCCAGGCTTCTGTGTACAAGCGCTGTGAAGGAGAAAACAATAAGAGAATCAGAAAAAAAAATAAACTCATGTCTTAAATTGGAGTTTTAGTGAAGAGACCATGAGCAAATTGAAAAGCAGCCTCTTTGCTTACTGTGCTGTATATTTGGTTTACATCCTTTTCAATCCCTTTGATTTTTATAGGGTATCAACTATAACTAAATATAAGCATATATTAATATGAGAAAATATACAGACAAGCAACCACACACACATATTACCAGGTCACTCAAAACCCAATTAAAATTTCAAAATCAAGTATTTCCCCAGCATATTTAAATATCCATATGTTTACTATGGTTGTGTTAAAACTCTTCATAAGTTTAAAGAAAGAAGTTCAGCACCAAGAGCATATTACTCAAATAGACTTAGAAGACATTGAGTCCTAGTCACTCAATTTTAATATTATTTTTAATAATGTGCATGTATGTGGGTCTGTGTGGGTCTGTGAACATGAGTGTAAGTGCCCACAGAGGCCAGAGAAACCAGGACCCTTGAAGCTGTACTTACAGACAGTCATTAGCTGAAGGAATGGGTGCTAGGCACCAACTTGGTTCCGTGGCAAGAGCAGTAGTCACTCTTAACCACTGAACCATCTCTCTAGCCCCAAGGAATCCTATTTGTAATACTGACTATTTTACACAGAGACAGCAAAGCAGAAATTCCCATGTCCATATTTGAAATTATTTTTTAAAAATAATTTATTTATGTTTTTATTATATATATAATATATATGTATAATATAAAAGTATATTATACATATACTTTTGGGAATCAGATCCCCTGGAACAGGGGTTACAGATAACTGTGAGCAGTTATGTGGGTGCTGGGAATTGAACCCAGGTCCTCTCAAAGACCAGCCAGTGCTCTTAACCACTGAGCCATCTCTCCAGCCCTCCATATTTGAAATTCTTATATAAGGATATATAGAACTCAACTGAACCACTGTACTTTGGATAAGAGCTTAACTAGATAAACTTGGAAAAGGTTAACTTAGAAACCATAGCTATTCATTCTAAATGATCCACATTCCTGCATTGTTTTTCCCTAGACTGGGCCCTCACCTTGTTCATGTTAAGGGCGTTGTTCTTGGCCAGCACCTGCTCCAGAGAATCAGTCACACTGGTGAACTTGAACTTGTCTGGAGGCTGGCGGTAGATGTTGTCACTCAGGATCTCTGCGGCTCTCTTGCACTTGACCACATCTAGAGACCCGATGGGGACCCAGCCAATGCCTCTCAACCACTGGAGATCTGACTTGTACACATTCTGGGAAGAGGAAAAGGGCAGCTGTTATGACCAAAAATCTGTGTTGGTCTTACACTTGACCACATCCAGAGACCCAATGGGAACCCACCCAATTCCACTTACCCACTAAAAGATTACAAATGCTCTAGTGAGATCCAACACAAAAGCAAGTGCTATTGAACTTGTCATGACATTTGATCTCAAAAGTAAAGAATAAGGACTGGAAACTGGGAAATTAAGCTTTGTATATGTCTTTAAAAATAGGAATGCAAAATTGTATTTCATCTTGTAGGATAACATTCTCGTCTAAAAAATAAGTAAAGGGCATTGGAAAAATGAGGAGTAGAGATGAGATGGGTCAGCTTCCTGAGGGCTATATCCAATCTTAAACATAAATGGTATTATGAATTATTATTGTGAGGGAGACTCTCATAGACCTACTACTCACATCGCTCTGGAGGTCATAGGCCTGTCGGGCATGGATGACATCATTCTGGTCAGGCAGGCACGTCCACTGGTGCAGGTAGTTCCTGTAGTCCACATCACTGACCAATGTCTGGCACTTCTTGGCCAGCACCACCCCCAGCATGGCCACTGGGCTTCAGTACTTGGTCTTCCACTTCTCAAAGTCCTTCTTGTACTCCCTGTCACTCTGGATCTTGGCCACATGCATGGACCACATCATCTTGGGGTCATCTTCGATGTTCCGGGCTCCAATGTGGTGGCCCAGCTGCTTACGGTAGCCATCTTTGTATTTGTACTGAAATGAAATGGTCATTTTTCCCCAAAAAGTTAATGTAATGGGCTAAGAGTTTAATTAGTTAAAAATCTTGCTATTTTTCAGTACTTGCTGAGAAATAATGTTATCTAGACATTTCCCTATCTGTATTCTAAATTGAGGCTTAAATGCACAGTGACACTTTGGTGTGAACACAGGCCAAGCTAAATTATTCTATTTCTTGCAGACATCAAGTCTCTGGACATAAAAGCAGTAACATTTTTCAAAAGATGAATCAGAAATGTACACCACTTTCTTGTCATCTTTTGGTCAGTAAAACCACTAACTAGAAATCTTAAGTGTGATTTCAAGAATATCATTATTCAGTTGGTAGATTCGACTTCTTCTCCCACCACCCCCACACTGCCATCCTACAGAGTCTGCTCTGTGACTTTCACTGAGTCTCTTGACTCCCTGATATGGGCAGGATAGGATCTCCATGCTGTATGTCTTATGCCAAATGTGACTGAGGTGAGGCTTCCATAAGTGAAACAATGACATGTATATGAGCACCGTAATATCTTGGTGGTAAGAGCAGGTACCCTGGCATTCTCTGGCAACAATTTTAATGTATATCACTTAGTCTACATTCTACCAAGGACCTTTTTCAGAGCCAGCAGAAGGAGTATTTAAGCTCATGATTCTTGGTTTTGTTCATCTTTGTCTTTCTATTTTCACTCAATAATGTGAAGGGTGCACTTCAGATAATTTTCAAAGGAAGAGTTGGCAATAATGTAATGAGCAAGTTTGGGGAAAGGTAATGTTTCCTGTCCCATACCAGGTCCTTATCTGTTGGACAATGAATACAATCAAGTTATCTCCTAGTATTTCCTATGCCTATGAAGGCTACATGATCAAATATAAAGATAAATTTTCCATAATTACAGACCCAAAATACTATAGATTACGATTCAACTTTAAACCAATGGTACCTTTTGGAATTAATTTTTAAAATAAGAAATGTTTGTGCGACTTAAAATAAGCCAGTAGATGTGTTCTAACTGACACTTCGAATGCATCTTGTCACTGTGCAGACTTGTCCCTGAGTCTGTCTCTCAAACCCATCTATCCTCATAGATATCTGTGTGTCACTACTCACGTCACTGGCGATATCTCTGGAGGCCTTGGCTGCCACAATGGGGATGGCATCAACACGTAGGTCATAGCCTTTCTTCTTTGCTTCTTCATTGGCAAGTTTATACAGACTCTGAGGAAAGAGGAAAATGTTAACAGCAACAATTGGGGAGTGTCAAGTGAGCTCTGCCACCTGATTTTTAAAGGATAGAAGTGGATATTACCCAAGGTCCGGGTGACAGGGGAAAGCAAATGAACTCTATTCTATTCTCCAAAAAAGTATTTAGTTAGGCATGGTGTTGCACACCTTTAATCCCAGAACTCAGGAGGCAAAGGTAGGTGGATCTCTGAGTTTGCCTGGTCTATAGAGCAAGTTCCAGGACATCCAAGGCTATACAGAAAAAAAACCTGTCTTGAAAAACAAAAATGGCCCCGAAACCAAAAATCTATTTAGTGTCAGAAAAGGATTAGATATAACAATAAGTATTAAAATTGATATGTCTATTAGCTATTTAATCATTATGGATTTATACATCACTTAATGATAAAACTATTTATATAGATCCATATAATTTAGTTGTATATATAAAATATAATCCATACATGCTGCTAAGTAAAAAAAGAAATGAGAGAGAAGTAGGCTCAATATTACTCATTTTACTTATATGACATGTTCTTCTTTTCATTTCTTCACTACTTAACTTTTAGTACAACAGGTAGTATCTTATCTTTAAACAACAAATAAAAAGCTAGGATATAACAGAATATAGTTGACTATAACCTCAACTTGAAGACCAAATTTTGGTTGTATGTTAGGAAAGCATGTTATAAAATTGCACTTTCCTGTGGACAAACCAGCATCACTGATGGGCGTACTGCTGAAAAAGACCCTCAGTGCCTTTGCTTCAGTTTCCTCTTCTGACTTGTCTGCACCTTGCTCCCCTCTCTGCCCTGGGTGGTGGGTGACTTATCTGAGGATGGACCATGCATAGCCAGCTCTCTCCTCCCTGGGTACTGAGTCTCCTGCCCTCTCAGACAGGCATCATCTCTGAAACCCCAGGCTACCTGCTCTGGCGCACCCTGTACCTGGGCAGAGGAACTTCACTCTGTTGTTCAGTTAGCAGGCTCACTTAACTCTCTCACATACACTGTGCCATTTAACTTAATTTTAGCAGTTTTTCTAAAAAGTGGTATTTTGACTACAGTTTTTGCTCCTTTGTTTCATTTCTCAAGTTTAATTCAAGCCCATTGTGGGGAAGAGGTGTGCATTAGTAAAGATTTCTTACTAGGACATGAGATGTAGCCAGTTAAGATATAGCGCATCAGTTGAATTTGAATTCCTGGTACATGAGTCTTAGTTATTGGTGTTAATAGTGAGCTGGTGTTTTATCTGGCAAACTGACCCCTTACAAGTGCCAAAAAGTACTCCTTGGTTTATTTGTTCATGTTAGGAGTAACTTCAATTTGTAAAAAACAGTCTGAGTTCAGTTTGCCTGCAGAATCTCATGAAATGTAAATGCAGTATTCAACCCAGAAACAAAAGGGATGGGCAGTGTTCACATGAAAGAGCCGAATCATTGAGTGTCCACATCTCCCACCACCCTACATGAGAATCTCCACATGGCTTTGGAGCCCCCACCTCACTGTAGTTGACTCTGTTCTGCCTTGCCAGCATGATCTCCGGTGTATCAGGCATTACATGAATTTGAGTCTTGTCTTTGTCCCAGGCCTCTGTGTATAATCGCTATAAAAATAAAGTAAGATGTTGAAAGAAAACCATTTAAGATGGACACTCCAAAAAGTCAAGTTAAAACAGGGTTATTATTGATTTATTTAGGAAAAATAAGCCACATTTGATATAAGGCATGGTACTACAGCGGTAGTTCTCTACCTGTGGGTTGCGACCCCTTTGAGGGTGGAATGATCCTTTCACAGGGGTCACATATCAGATATCCTGTATATCAGATATTTACTTTATGATTCATAAGTGTAACAAAACTACAGTTATGTAATAGCAACAAGATAATTTTATGACTGGGGGTCACCACGACATGACAAACTGTATTAAAGGGTCACATTGTTAGGAAGGTTGAGAACCACTGCTTTTTACCAAGACTAAAACTGGAAACAGTGAGACTTACTAGATTTCAAGAACAATTTAAAAGTTAAATGTGACTCTGTCCCTTAGGGGGAACTTTGGATCCACTAGTCATTCAAGTATACAGGTGTGAAGTCTGAGGTGTCCAGGCTCACCTTGTTCATGTTGAGGGCATTGCTCTTGGCCAGCACCTGCTCCAGAGAATCAGTCACACTGGTGAACTTGAACTTGTCTGGAGGCTGGCGGTAGATGTTGTCACTTAGGATCTCTGCGGCTCTCTTGCACTTGACCACATCCAGAGACCCAATAGGGACCCAGCCAATGCCTCTCATCCACTGGAGATCTGACTTGTACACATTCTGGGAAGAGCAAAAGGTGGCAGAAACTCTTCACTGAGGGCAAAGTGCAGTGTAAAGATGCAATGACATGCAAATCTTCAAAGAAAGTGAGATTCTATTGTTTTCATAGAAAGCAAGCTTAATGAAGGCAGATGACAAGAACAACTATCTTCAAAAAATGACCCAGAAATGTTTTCTTGTTCACAATAAAAATATGCTGAATATTTAAACCATTAGGAAAGGAATGATCCTAAATACTATCTATCAGTCACTATTTTACAGATAATGTACACAGGACGGAATGCCAAAACAGAGTGAGAGGAATCATGGATGGCTCACAACAAGCTACCAGTAAATTCATATATGGCCTTTGCCTCATGAAACATTCTGCAGCAATCAAAACCCTTACTTTCTAAGAATACTGACAGCATGCAGAAATGTTATTGGCATGTGAAGAAATGTGGGTGGGAAAACTGTATCAAAGGGTTTTGGGACATTGGATTGAATTAGATTGTTGCCTTCAGTGCACTTTTTCTTATATTTTCAAATTATCATCTTAAAAAAATGAGTGACTTAAAGTGACAAGGGATATATAACAATAAGGAATCCTTGATCCAGAATGTGGACAGCTATCATACTGCCCAAGATTGGTGGCAATAAATGTACACATTATTGGGCTAGGATCACGGTCACTTTCCTACCAATTTCTCAGGGTAGGAGGCTCAGGCTGGTTTCCAGAGGCATCCATCTTGCCTTATGTTTTTTAGTTCATTTTAAGCCATTTTTTTCCTGCTAAGGATCTCCTAAGTATCCCAACAATGTTACTGGAGCCCCGGTCATCTATCTAGAAGAATTTCAGCAGCCTCAGGAAAGAAATGGAAAAATAAATGTGAATTTCATACACACAGCCTCCTGGCACTGCCTCATGCTGACTGTTTATCATGCTTGAAGAGCCACAGCAAGGCTGGCTAGTACTGTGCTTGCTGCATCTGCAGTGAATACCTCCTGCAGCACCAAGACCAGCCACAGTGTGGGGAAGGCAATCCAGAACAGTCACTTGGCAAACAATGGCTGGCAATCTATCAGTGTTGCTACTGCTTGTGAGCATCGACCCTTCTTCACAAACCCACAAAGTACCGAGCAGATGTGGGAGCCTTTCAGGTGGCTGTACAACACTGAGGAAGAGCCATTAATGTGTTCTGATTGTGGATTTAGCTCATTCTCCAAAGCTCTCGAATGCTTTGTAATTGCCTCAAATGTTTATCAAACATGCAGTGTTGGGAATGTGCTCCTCACACCCAGACTGGAGACAGCACATTCACTGCCAATAGATGCTCAGATTAGTCATCAGCATCCGACACCTCACATGATTGGAGCAAATGTCAGCAAAACTGTCCAACAGCTTGCAAACACTGCAGCTTCATCGTCTTCTGAGAGCAGTGTGAGTGCTGAGATGTCATTAGCAATCTAATGACTAGAACCACCAAGGAAAGCAATAGCACAGTCTAGAGAAAGCATGTGTGTGTGTGTGTGTGTGTGTGTGTGTGTGTGTGTGTGTGTGTGTGTGTGTGTGTGTGTGTGTGCAGTGCTGGGATCAGATCCATGCCTTACACTAAACAAGCACTCTACCACTGAGCTATGTCTCCAGTCTTCTAGAATAAAAATTTGCTTTTTCATCAGGGATAACCTTTTCATATACCTTGGAGGCTGTTTTATAGATACCACACTCACATCGCTCTGGAGGTCATAGGCCTGTCGGGCATGGATGACATCATTCTGGTCAGGCAGGCATGTCCACTGGTGCAGGTAGTTCCTGTAGTCCACATCACTGACCAATGTCTGGCACTTCTTGGCCAGCACCACCCCCAGCATGTCCACTGGGCTGCTATATTTGGTCTTCCACTTCTCAAAGTCCTTCTTGTACTCCCTGTCACTCTGAATCTTGGCCACATGCATGGACCACACCATTTTGGGGTCATCTTCAATGTTTCGAGCTCCAATGTGGTGGCCCAGCTGCTTGCGGTAGCCATCTTTGTATTTGTACTGAAATGAAAGTTCACAAATCAGGCTTATATTGTAGACACTGTGATGTCAAAAATTTGTACAAAAATCATGTTATTTTCACCATAGTTTTAACTGGATGCGGATGAGCACCAATTCCAGCCAACATTCTGGCCTTAACCCTTAGAGCATGTGCATGCGGTAAAGTACATAGATTCCGTACAACATACATAATGTAGGAGGCACACACACACAGATGAAGACCCCCATCAGAGGGGTCAGAATGAGGCCATCTGAATAGGGGTAACCTGAGGAACTGGATCTTTCACACTGAAAGTATGGCAGGAAAGGAATGTACTTGAGAGCATTGTGTGTTTAATAAGCTGCAAAGTAGTTTCAAGTGGCTGGCTTGTGCAACGAAGAATGTATTCCACACCAGATTCACACACTTAGTGTCACTGGCAGATTCCTATCACCATCATAAAGACTGATTATATTGGTAAAGTTGCTATAGTAGCTCATCTGATTAAGAATGTTCTTAGCAAGGCCATCGTGTTCTATTTTTCACCTCTGTCAACAGTGTTTTTTTATTATTACAAGTTCAATAACTTCAGTGTAGAACCTGGGCCAGCCATCCCCAGAACATGCTTCCAATTTTAAAGACAATTGAGTTAGAAAGTACAGATGAGTCAATGGGTAGGGGCATGGCATAGTGGGATGGAATGTGTTCATCTAGTCTACACTTCACCATACATTAAGACTGGTTCTGGGAAAACTAAATAATTAATGAAATAGAGATAATGACAGCATGGACCATTTGGGGTAGAATATGAAGATAATGCAAAGAAAACTCTTCATAGATTTCTTAAAAATTATTATTTCTTTATACTGTTGGTAGAGATCCTTTTGCTGAGGAAGGGGGGTTAAAGTAAAAATAAAACAAGCCAGTAATAATCTAGTAAAAAAAAAGAACAGTCTATCACCATATTTGTTAACAGTGAGCCTCGGTATTTATAGCAGGTATCTATTCCTCAAGGATCTGGGAGGCAGTAAGAAAGCAGGGTGGCTTTACCCCTGGGACGGGGCAAGGAATGGGGTGCTACACTGCATAGTCAAGAGTTGTAGATGCAAGCCTGGGCTAGAAGCCTCCATCTGGTACTGATAAACACTTTCTTCATAATCTGTCCAGGGAGAGTTGTAATAGCAAGTGTCACAAGCAGTTTTAAATACCATTAAAAATACCACGTAAATCTAGACCCAGGCCCCCAACAGAATGTAGGCCTGTGAGCCTATTGATTTAATGAAATCTTGTCTTTTAGAATTATTTATTATGTATACTGTGTTCTCCCTGCATGTGTGCTTGCCTGCCAGAAGAGGGCACCAGATTGGGAATTGGTAGGTGGCTGTGAGCCACCATGTAGTTGCTGGGAATTGAACTCAGGATCTCTGGATGAGCAGCCAGTGCTCTTAACCTCTGAGCCATGTCTTCAGCTCCTTACTGATCATGCTTACATAAACATCTCCAGGCCTGCAGCTCTGCTCTAGTATTTACTCATGCTCTGTTCTCAGGAAGTGATTTTTTCTCCCTGAGAACATAAATCCTTTTCACAAATACCAAGTTTCCCATTCCCCCCAAAACCAAGTTTTTGAAAATTTTCATATGAAAGAGATCATTTTTTTTTTTTGAGACAGACTAGTTTATGTCCTGGCTAGTTTATGCCAATTCTACACAAGCTAGAGTTATCTGAAAGGAGGGAACCCGAATTGAGAAAATGCTTCCATAAGATCTACCTGGAGGGCATTTTCTTAGTGATTGATGGAGGAGGGACCATCCCATGGTGGGTGGTGCCATCCCTTTGCTTGTGGTCTGGGTGCTATAAGAAAGCAGGCTGAGTAAGCCATGAAGAACAAGTCAGTAAGTACTGTTCCTCCATGGCCTCTGCATAAGCTCCTGCCTCCAGGTTCCTGCCCTGTTTAAGTAACTTTCCTGATTTCCTCTGATGATGAACAACAATGTGGAAATGTAAGGTAAACAAACCCTTTCTTCCCCAACTTGCTTTTTGTTCATGGTGTTCCATCATAGCAATAGAAACTCCAACTAAGATACACTGCTATAAAGCTCCAGCTAGCCTAGTACTCACTACACAGTGGAGGCTGGCCTCAAACTCAAGGCATTCTTCTTGTCTCAACCTCTTAAGTGCTGGGGTTACAAGCATACACCATACACAGTCTACGGAAGGTACTTTGTAAAGCTCAGTGGAAATGCCATACCACACTATTCATGGAATGGTAAGAGAACTGCTAACTTACATCACTGGCGATGTCTCTGGAGGCCTTGGCTGCCACGATAGGGATGGCATCACTTCGTAAGTCGTAACCTTTTTTCTTTGCTTCTTCATTGGCAAGTTTATACAGGCTCTAAATTTTGGCCACCACCCAAAAAGAAAGAAATTGGTTAGATGTTGATGTTCAAGAACTAATAGGGGATTTAAATAATTCATAAAACTCTCCATATAGTTCTCATTGGAATGTGGTTTCTGAGTTCCAAGCCCTTTTCTTTTGTACCGCAGAAAACACCTATGAAAATTATTACATCTGATTATCCTAAAATTTTACAATGAATTAGTAAATGAGTAACATGTAAAATGTTTCCAGAGAAATTAAGCTAAAGCCTAAGGAGACATGTAGATGAACTGTTGTTTATGGAAATCAGTTCAGTCTATTCAGCCTGACTTCGTGCCTGTGGCAATGCTAGGTAATTGACAACCAAGGATGAAGACGAGGACTCCCTCAGCCTTTGAGTTTCTGGGAGAAGTGATGAGAGCCTGGTAATTTAGGGAACTAGCTGCTGAGAAGCCAAACCACACGAGACAATTTAACCACAGAGTTCAACCACAAAGATGACAGACTTCAGGAAGCAGTCACTTACTGTGACCTAAGAATAAGGAAGTTCCTGCACAGGGCTGCCCTTGGGTTATACCTTGAAGGATGAACTAGGTTTCCAAAGACTAAGTTGGTATTCAGGGGAAGCGAGGACATGTGAAGGAGTGGGGTGAGCTATCAGGGAGGAATGCCAGACATGGACTGAGAAGATTCTGGAGTTGGAGCAGAATGCCTGCAGCTAAGAAAAGAATGAGGCATTTGGGCTAGGGCTACAACTCTGTGGTAAGGTCCTCGCCAGCATACTTGAGGCCCTCAATTCAACCTCCCATACCAGTGGGCATGGGGCAGACTTAATTGCTTATTTCTCTAGAAATCAAGAAAAATCTTAAAGAGGGTGAATGGCATGATAAATTCCACACTGTGTTTTCCCATCTTTAATGAAATGAAAACAGAAAGGAATTGAAATAATTTCATACAGACAACGGTGAGAAAGGTGACTGGGTGGGTTAGGTACTCAAGCGAAGAGAGTTCTTCCTAGCCCATGCTTGATCAGCAACATTGCCCTACTATGGTGTCTCTGGAAGCTTCCAGCAAGACAGATTCAAAAATTCTAGGATACCTGGAGGACTTGATATTTTTAGTTTGGGTGACAATCAAGATCTGGTTAGACAAGCATTACAACTAAAGCCTGCCTTCCCAAACCACATGACTCTAAACCTCGAATTCTGTCTAAAGTCTTTTGTTATGCATCTGGTTAGAATTTTATTGATCTGTCCTGTCACAGAAAGTGTTTGACTTGCTCGTGGCACAAAGCCCAGGGAAAAGGTAATGGGCCTCTATCAGAATCTTAGATCCACAAAGATCTCTACAGGCTTAGACTGTAGCCTCAATCTAAAAAGGAGAAATTACACAGGGATGAATGTCAGTCTTGGAGCTAGATTTAAATCACAAATGCACACAGGCAGCCCAGGGCTAGCTTAACTTTAGCCCTTGTGAAAGGTCTCCTTAGTCTAAAAGGATTTAGGTTCACACACAGCAGCATTGGCAGAGCAGCCCGTGTGCTCCAGCAGGGTGCAGAAATGTGAGCCACAGGTCAGAAAGATGATAACTATGTGTTCACCCCGATCATAACCCACTAACAGTATTTTGTGTATCTCTGAGTCACATTTGACCAGATCAAGGGATATCCAGGAATGTGGGGATGTTAAGATGGGGTGGGACTGGCAGGAAAGGACATTGGTGGCTGTCTCCATCTATGTGCAAATTGGTACTGCTGTTTCTGAGGACTTTGTGGGTTTTCAGACAGAAATACAAGAGAAATACTTTTTAATAGACATTTCAAAGAGGGGGGGTAGAGAGATGGCTCAGCAGTTTAGAGCTCTGACTGCTCTCCCAAAGGTCTGGGGTTCAATTCCCAGCATCCACATGGTGGCTCAGACCCATCAGTAACCCTCTGTAACACCAGTTCCAGGGGATCAAACACCCTCATCTGGCCTCAGTGGGCACTATGCATGTACAAGGTGCACTGACATACATGCAGGCAAAACATCCATACACATAAAATAAAATGTTAAAAAAGGGGAACTAGTTGAATAAAAGAAAATGTTGTACTTCATCTTATGATTATTGATGAAATAATTAATTCTTACAATTAATGCAAAAATTGCATTATGGTAAATGGTAACTCATTTTACTTAATACTTTATAATAGTGATTGAGAAATGCAAGAGCTGCTTTTCTCATGAATTGAGAAAACATGATTATTTACGAAGCCAACATTTAGTATTATACCACCACGGAATGATTGACTAGAGTGAAAACCAGTACAGATGTCCAAGAATTAGCAACTACTCCCACCTCACTGTAGTTGACTTTATTCATTCTTGCCAACATGATTTCTGGTGTGTCTGGCATTATGTGGATCTGTGTCTTGTCTTTGTCCCAGGCTTCTGTATACAAACGCTATCAAAGGAGATACACATTCATCAGAAAACACAGCAATGCCGAATCAATAGGAGTTCCAAAACCATAGAAAACATGCAATAAAAGAAGATAAGGCTATGATATTTTATATAAATAATATACATGTCTCCAACTAAATATTGGTTCATAGTGGAATATCTACTTGTAAATGCCTTTTGTTTTGGTTTTTCGAGACAGGGTTTCTCTGGTAAATGCCTTTTGATAATCTGAAAATACATTACAAATTAAATGGAAAGTAAAAATAAGTATCTTTAGGCAATGATATTTTATCAAAACCAAGAAATAATGCTGAAGTCAATGTAAAATATGAATAACATATTACATAGATGATAGATTGAAGAAATGGGAAGATAGTAAAAGATATAAATGTCTTAGTGTATAAAACTCTTTTCTCAATTATTTTTCTGTTTCTTGGATTCAGCTTCAGCAACCCCATGGAGCTTCCCTGAACTCTGACCTCTCACCTTGTTCATAGTGATGGCATTATTCTTGGCCAACACTTGCTCCAGAGAATCAGTCACACTGGTGAACTTGAATTTGTCTGGGGGCTGACGGTAGATTTTGTCACTCAAGATTTCAGTGGCCCGTTTGCATTTTTCCACATCCAGAGAGCCAATAGGCACCCAGCCAATGCCTCTCAACCATTGGAGATCAGACTTGTACATGTTCTGTTGACACAAAGAGTCAATAAGTATTTCTCTCCACATTGGGAATGCATTTTTAGCCAAAGGATATAAAATCAAACATGAACACTTAAAAATACAATTTTGTAGGTAGCAGGCTTAGGTATTACTTCATTTTGTATGAATTCTAAGGAAAGTGGTGTCCTGCCCCCTCACACATTTGCAGGTACAGGTGAGCTGTGGGCCACCTATTTAAACCTTCTTCTGTGGGATAAATTCACTCTTTCCCATTTTCATGATCTCCAGTACTCACATCACTCTGGAGGTCATAGGCCTGTCGGGCATGGATGACATCATTCTGGTCAGGCAGGCATGTCCACTGGTGCAGGTAGTTCCTGTAGTCCACATCACTGACCAAGGTCTGGCACTTCTTGGCCAGCACCACCCCCAGCATGTCCACTGGGCTGCTGTACTTGGTCTTCCACTTCTCAAAGTCCTTCTTGTACTCCCTGTCACTCTGGATCTTGGCCACATGCATAGACCACATCATTTTGGGGTCATCATGTATTGCACGGGCACCAATGTGGTGGCCAAGCTGCTTGCGGTAGCCTTCCTTGTACTTGAACTACAAGAAAATAAAGACTGCTAGTAAACTGTTTTGACCTTTAGGGAAATAAACTTACTAAGACAGAACTATCCTATTCATTAAACATAATGATTTCCCTTGGATGTATAATATACACATCTTTTATCATGTAGAAAACAAGCAAAGTACTGAAAAGGACAAGAAAGCAAACATATTACTCTACTACACAGAGCTATTTGTGGTACATGTGTGTGAAAGACTAGGATTAGAATGTGAGTCACATGTTAATGGGATTTGCCTGCTTTTTGCACTTATTACATAAGCAATTCTCTCTGTCATTAAAAATTCTTTAGGAACATGCATTTTAATTATAGTAGGCATATTGTATGGTTATACACTAACGTTAAGCTTCTCAGTATCATTTTTAAAAAATGTGATAATTATTTCATATATTTTGGAAACAAGACATATTTTTGATTCAAAGACCAAACGTGAATAAAAAATTTTAGCAATGTGAGCAAACCCAACTTTTAAAGGAAGCAAGGAATGAAAGAGGGGACCATAGCAGGGTATGGGGAGAAGACCAAAACACATGCGTATGCTTGCTTAAAATGGTCATATGTAACCCACTATAATACAATAAAGAAAGCAAACAAATGTGTGGAGGGTGACACAGACACATAGCCCATGCGGAAGGCTGGGCTTTGAGTGACATGCCATATTTGTTTAGATTCATCAGTTCATGCAGTATGCATTAAGTTTTGAAGGAATTCTCCAAAAAGTGTGACTGTGAAAATAAGAAATAGATCATGTGGAAAAGTAAAAAGCAATCGAAACTTCAGTTAAGTATTCAGCACTTGGGCTCAGCAGGCAGTGGGTACACCATGAAATGTTCATTCTTACAGCGGAAGTTTAGCTTGAAGCCATGAATTTTAGTATCTTTAAGATACTTGCTGGTATTATAGACTATTAGCAAAAATTTTAACTTCATAGCTTGGCCTATTGCAAATATAAGAGAAACAAAGTGGTCCTGGAGCCAAAGCCAGGGTGAAAATTTCCCAGGAATACTTAATTTCCCAGGAGTACTTACATCACTCGCGATGTCTCTGGAGGCCTTGGCTGTCTTGATAGGGATGGCATCAAGTCTCATGTCATAGCCTTTCCTCTTGGCTTCTTCCAAGCCAAGTTTATATAATTTCTGCCACAGACATAAATAATTACATTTGATTACTAAATTGAAATATAAGGAAAAAATATACCACATATCATACATACATTGCTTACCTCACTATAATTTATTTTGTTTTGTTTAGCCAGTATAACTTCAGGTGTATCTGGCATAATGTGGATGCTGGTTTTATCTTTATTCCAAGCTTCTGTATAGAGGTGCTAAGAACAATAAGAAGATAGGTCAATAATGAACCCTTTGAAACCATGCTCTTGAGTTAACTCTGATGTGTTCAGGTTTCAATGTCTTTATTAATAAGTAGTATGTTTCCTTTAGAGACACCTTACTGTTAGGGAGAACTGAATGTAATTTTTCTTTCTATGGGGACAGTGTTGCCCACTCCTGTCAGAAATACTTAATACCTCCCTTGTGCAAATATAGGACTTACATGGTTCATGGTTATAGCATTATTTTTTGCCAAGACCATTGGCATGGAGTCCATAAGGCTGGAAAACTTGAATTTATCTGGGTGCTGCCGGTAAACATGTTCACTCAGAATCTGAGTGGCTCGTTTGTTTTTCTCATCCTCGAGTGAGCCAGAAGGTATCCAGCCAATGCCTTTGAGCCACTGAAGATCAGCCTTGTACAAGTTCTGAAATTTCAAGTGACAAGCCACAAATGTAAGCATATATCCCTAGAGAGATAGCAGTGTATGTTGTTACACTATATAGACATCTTTGTAATACCTAACATTTGACTTCCCAGATAATTTCAGAAATTTAATGAAATACTCAGATTAGAAGCATGTTTTGCAAAGTGAGAGAAAAGTGTAGAGAATGACTCAATTATTCATTGTCTAGACCAGCCACCCAGAATATTCCACTGTAGACTCTTTCATTGAGGAATAATGCTATTTGGATCATTAGGTAGCAAGTTTGAGTGTTAGTGAATAAATTCAACATTGCTTACTTTATGGAACTTTGATATCAGGAAAAGAGTGCTTAACTGAACAAAGGAAAACCTTAGACTCACATCGCTCTGGAGGTCATAGGCCTGCCGGGCATGTATGACATCATTCTGGTCAGGCAGGCATGTCCATTGGTGCAGGTAGTTCCTGTAGTCTGCGTCACTGACCAAGGTCTGGCACTTCTTGGCCAGCACCACCCCCAGCATGTCCACTGGGCTGCTGTATTTGGTCTTCCACTTCTCAAAGTCCTTCTTGTACTCCCTGTCACTCTGGATCTTGGCCACGTGCATGGACCACATCATCTTGGGGTCATCCTTGATATTCCGAGCCCCAATGTGGTGGCCAAGTTGCTTTCGGAAGCCTTCTTTGTATTTGTACTAAAGGAACAAAAGTATAGCTCATTCCTTTAAAAATTAACATTTGTTGCCACCTCTGTGGCAATTTTTGAAACTTATTAATTCTAAATTTCTTGCTAAGCCTATAAAGCAATTGTATTTCAGTTTTTTGATAGGAAAGATTAAAGGCTAAATTCAGCTACAAATCCCATGCACAATAAACTGACCCTTGGTCTTACCCTTATCCTACACTGCATGGCTGGAATTATCACCTTGTTTTAATTTGTTCTTACATGCTTTTGTTCAATTTAAAAGAAGCCCATTGCAATAAAATCACTATCTACAGGGCATGACATCTTACTTCACTGGCAATTTCCCGGGATGCTTTTGCTGCTTTGATTGGAATGGCATCGACAGGAAGGTCATAACCCTTTTTCTTCAGTTCCTCATAACCCATTCTGTAGATTTTCTGTTGAGAGACCAAGACAATCACTTTGGGAAAACCATTCTCCACAAACAGTGTAATGAATAAGCAGTACAATGAAGCCAGTGTACAACTTACTTCAAGAGTCCAAGAGAAGAGCCTCTATGCTCTAGACCACTCCAGTGTAATTTGATATTATGTCTATGGATTGCTGATGACCCTGCTCTAAAATTTTAAAGCTGTTTGATTGCCAAATGTACAAAATTAAATGCTAGCTCTTCCCAAGTACTTTAGAGAAGGCAAAAGAAGCTAACTGGTGGAGCCATGAATTAATTGTTTTGGTGGTATCTTCTACTTTTATACTGTGTTCTATTAGAAGTTTCTGTGGAGAAGGGAAAGCCTTTCAATCTTACACCTCCCGTGGAAAAAATAATTGGTGAGAGGACATCGCTTCTGTGTAGCTAATGTACCTACCTCATGACATAGGACCAACAAAAGAAGAACTGACATCTGGAGGTAATGTGGACCTTCATAATTTAAAAAAATACTTTAAAGTTTAGTTGAATTTTAAAGCTTATGTATTTATAATTTGCCCATTCAGATTGTGACATAACTAAATAATTGAGAATATATTCAAATATATTTTTACCCAGAAGCTAGATTTTTTAAAATGGCTATTGCTTAGACTTTTGTTCCTATTTTATCTCTGTGGTATTATACCCATATATTCTTTAACATTAAAATCACCTTATAGGGGTTCAAAATATGTGTGTTAAATGTTTACTTTTTACATCCATACATTTCAAGGATTAACATTTGCCAGCAAAATAATTGGCAAAAATGAAAATTTCCTCCAATGGATTGTTTACTTGTTCAAAATTTCATCTATTATCTATTTATCAAGCACAAAGCACTGTAAGCAGTGCAGATCCAATAGGAATTGTTTCTGCCCACACAGGGCAGTATGAAGATGATATAAATATTTCATTTTTATAATAATACATGTAATAAAGAAATAAAAAATAGAGA